ATATTTTAAGAGAGCTATCCAGTAAGAAGCCTAAGCCATTGGTCAAACAATTAAAAATATATATTAAGTCTCTGAGTTATCTTATAGGTGGCCATGGGGACCCAGTGGGCAGAGAGAAAACATCCAGTAGGACCGGAAAAGACAGAAAAGCCTCTTTCTATATTAAGTGGTGCAGTCTTGCTGGAGGAGATATGTCACTAGGGGCAGGCTTTGAGGTTTTAAAAGTCTCATGCCATCCCCTGTGTGCTCTTTGCCTCTTACTGTTCAAGATGTGAGCTCTTAGCTGTTTCCGCTGAAATTATTGGAATTACTCAAATGTCCTTTTCTATATAATGTACTGTTACCTATTTTTGATGCACTGTTCTCTCTCTCCTATGTAGTATCCACTTAATGTTTGTGATGGTTATCTTTGAATGCATGGTCATTTTGAAATCTCAAAGCCCATATAAGGCTCACTCTCTCTCTCTCTCTCTCTCTCTCTCTCTCTCTCTCTCTCCCATTTCCCTCCCTCTCTCTCTGCCTGCTACCTGTGGATCAGGATGTAACTCTCAGCTACTTCTTTACATCATGCCTGCCTGCCTCCATCTTCCCCATCATGATGATAATGGATTTGCCTCTGAAACTCACCCCCAATTAAATGTTTTATAAGAGTTGCCTTGGTCTTGATGTCTCTTTATAGCAATAGAACAGTGAATAAGATAGAAATGGGTACCAGGAAGTTGTGTATTGCTGTGATAGACCTGACTGTACTGTTTTTTGAAAGAATATGGAAGACTTCGGGACTTTGGACTAGAAAACCATTTGAACACTGCAAGCAGGGTTTCATGGGCCATACTAGTGGGAGAATGGAAAACAGTAGAGCTATGGGCAATGTGAGCTGTGAGAGCCCAGCATCAGAGGTTTCAGAGGGGAATAATATCAGCTGACCTGAAAACCATTCTTGTGCTATTTTGGTGAAGAATGTGTTGCCCTTGCCCTAAAACTCTGCCTGATGCTAACCAAATTGAAGGGTTTGGGATTAATGGCATTGTCAGAGGAAATTTCAACATGCCCTAATATTGACTGTGCCATGTGGTTATTAGGGATCACTCTTATGTAGTCTACAATGTGTGATGGCTAAGAAAACTCTGTTCTGAACCAGGTACCCTCCTTAGTAGCTGCTGACCTTTGCCCAAAATTCCTAAAAGATGAGCTCCTAGCAACCTGCATCCTCCCCATAATGGTGTGACTCCTGTGAAGTGATCACTTGCTCAGACTTTTGTAAACTGTTGTATCCTGTCTCTGTGGGCCTTCAGTCAGATCTTTCCAACTTGCCGGGTTCACAACTGAGAGGGGGAGTGTGGATTGAGAAATGACAGGTAAAGATGAAAAGAAAAAGACAGCACCATAGAATAGTCAGGAGGGCAATCCAGTGAATACTGGACACCCTAAGTTTATTCGTCAACATTCTTAAATACTCCAACCAAAAAGGGGAACATGGCAAAAGACTTCTTTATCGTGTACAAGTAACAAACAGACTTTCTTCCTTAATTCTCCAAACATTTGGTAACCACACCTTAGATTCAATTTCTCACTATCTAGCCTTGAGGGTCAAGAGTAACCATACCTCAGACCAAGACCGTTGTGTTATTTACATAAGACATCCACGACCAAGATCAAAGTCCTACAGTAGCCACACCTTTATCCTTGGAAGACTAAAGATAGTTTTGAATTCTCTGACCTAAGTCAAGATGAAGAGGAGCCATCTCTGTGGACCCAGACAGTATACCTGTTTATCTCTGTGTAACCAAGGGTGAGATGGCTCCTTTATCACTGGGTAACAGGGAGCTAGAGGTACAGCTCCTCACAGCTGAAGGGAGTGAAGAAGTTTCTCAAGCATATGCAAATTCCACCTTTAAAAACCTTTGTCTAGCCCCTTCTGGATGGTATGCTTTCAATTTGCCTTTAAGGCTGTTGCCCTGCTAACAGTAATAATAAACCCATTTAATTATAATTTGGATTGAGTCTGTGGCCCTTTCCTAAAGTGTCAAAGTCCATAGCAAATGAAAAAGAGCCAGCAGGGCAAAAAGAAAGACAAAATGTACAATTTGAGAAGAAAAAGAACACCAAGAATTTTTTTTTTAAATTTTTAGCCAAGTCCAGTGCTCAAAAACATACAAAGTTTAAAGGAAAGCCTGATGCTACATGTGTTATGATAAAGTATGTGGGGAACCTGGGGGGATTCCATGGCAGGCAAGGGTGACTAAGGCAGAGGAACAAACATGCCAAAGAGACAGCTTCAGTGAGAAGTTTATTAGAAAGGGGAGGGAAGTGAAAAGGAAAGAGAAAAGAGGTAAAGAGACACAGGGACAGAGAGAGGACAGAAGAGAAGAGTGAGACAGGAAAAGTCCCGTCTGCCCCAGGGAAACAGCGGGAAAGAGAGGAGTGGGAAAGAGACAGTGGAAAGAGAAGAGAGCAGAAAGTAGGTGAAGGTCTTTCTTTTGATGGGGTCCTTAGCACCTGGGCTGACCAGGGTACTGCCTGAGTGCATTCTGCCAGGTAACAGGGGCAGGCCAGCAAAATGCCTGATTCCTTACAACATGGAATAAAGGGAATACTAACCTCAGGGAAAGACCCCATCTGCCTAAGCTTCCAAGTTGGGAGAAGGAAATAAAGGAAAGCTTGAGCAGTAAAGGAAATTATCAACAACAGACAGCTGTTGCAAATGTAACTGAAGGAAAGGGCCAAGTAGCAGCACCAGCAAGCAGTAGAACTTGGTATATTTGTCTGTGTCGTTCTGAACAGAAGGCACAAGAAAAGGGTTGTTGATTTGAAAGACCCCCGGAGGCTCAGGCCCCCAGGATCTTGGTCCAGGAACGTGGCCACCCCAATCACCAGGCGGAGGCAAAAGCTTGATGCAAACTGTACGAGGCTTTATTATAGTTGTTTAACGAGCTAACCCCATGATAGCTCGGGTCTTTCACCCACCCACCATGGCTGGCTCGCAAAAGACAGCTCCTAGGGGCTCCCGAGAGATCTTGTAGGGCAGCGTAAGGGGGTGTCTAGAGGTACGCATAGGCTCAGGATTGGTGTGTCTCCAGGCTTGGAGGGTTTGCCCTGTGTTGATTGGTCAACTGGTTGTTATGGCCCATAGGCCCTCCCAGGGTGGTTGACATGTTCTGCGTGTCATTGCTGTGTACTTGTCCATAAAGCACACCCAGAGCCGTAAAGCATAGCACCACCAGCTAACTTCTGATTGGTTCCTTGCCACAAGGCAGGCATCTGACCTCCTAGTGACTAAGACAAGGTCAGACAAGCATGTGTTCGGCTGTTATGGCTGCTGAAATGGGGAGCTGGTCCCTTCAGATTCTCCCTCTGCAGCTAAGGAAAGCCACGGAGGCCAGGTGTGCTAGAGGTGTTCCTGCGTGGAGGCCCAGAAAGGCTACTTGTGAAGCTGTGAGGGTAAAGCCTGCCTTGTGTTGTAGACCCCAAGGTGTTGGAGATGCCAGAAGCATGGGGTGTCTGCCAAAAAGAGCTACAGACTGGTTGTCAACTGACCCTAGAGAGAAAAGTGAGTTGCAGTCAACAAAGCTGAAAGGAGTATTGCAGTCAACAAAACTGGAAGGAACTGGAGATCTGAAGAGTGCTTTGCTATCAGCCATGAAATGCAGAATTTTGAATTTGTTCCCCTGGTTTTTGGTCTTGCTTTTGGTCCAGCATTTCCTTGTTATGCTCCTTCCCTCCTTCCTGCTACTAGGGTCTCTACCATGCTGACAATGAACTTACCTCTGAAATTATGAGCATGTTCCCAATTAAATGCTTTATTTTATAAGAGTTGGTCATGGTCTCTTCACAACAATAAAACAGTAACTAACGTAATGTTTCTATTTGCCACAACACAGAATTTAATCCACAATGTTGTCAAAAACAGACATGTGAGGCTGGAGAGATGGTTCAGCAGTTAAGAGCACTGGCTTGCTTTCCAGAGGACCTGGGTTCAAGTCTGAGCAGATGGTAGGTCTCAGCCATGTGTCACTCTAGTCCCAGAGATCTGGCACCCTCTTCTGGCCTCTATAGGCACCAGGCAAATATTTGGTAGAGAAGTACATGGATGCAAAACACCACACACATAAAATAAAAATAATAATTGAAAAGAGGACAATGTGATTGACCTGCATGGATAAGAGCAGTTAGTCAAGTGCTGAGAGTGTGGTGGGAATAGGAAGGTCCTTGTCTTGACTCATCAGTGTTTTCCACCAGTCTTAACAGTGTTGGCTTCATTTCCGGTCCCAACTTTGTAACTCCCAGTTCCTCTAGTTTTGCCATCTAAGAAAAGGCAAACTCAGCGTATAGTACCCTGTGAGGAGTGTTCCAGAAAGGGCAATGTCACTCATTAGCTGGGTTGGTGTCTTTCTATAATTTAATGTTCAGTCTATATATTTAAGTGGTAAAGAGAATATTTCAAAAGAACTTTAATGCTATTTCCATAAGTAAAATCTAGTTTACCAAATAAAATCATGATCTGCATTGGTAGGAAATTGTTCTAAAATTGGATTATCCATCTTTTCCTTTTTTATGAAATGATGGCATAGACTTAAAAAGCGTCACAAAGCTAATTGTATAAAGCCAAGCCATGCATACTTGAGTTAAAAGTTTAAGCAACATGTAAATAGAACAAAAACACAAATCAGTGTGCTGCTGAATGAATCAAATAATTTGTGTTTCTGTAATAGGTTTTACTGGGGGGACGGGGCGGGGGTGTTTTTTACTCTCCAAAGTAAAACTGCACAAGCATTCCAAAGACAGATGACTCAAAGCCAGAACTGCAGCATGGGGTACAGTGTCTGTATTTGACATAGCAGCCAGCAGCCGGAAAAGGCAGCCTGCACCTAAAACTTATAAAGAAAGGAATAATGAGCAATGAGAACTCCTATGCTTTTGTTTAATTTTTTTCCGAAAGAAAAAGCATCTTTTAAAAGAGTGCCTCATTTACATTTTAAATGAAAAAATTAACACCATGATCTATGAGAAAGATGTTTATTTTTAACAATATTAAAACAAATTATTGTGAAGTTCTGCAACATACTAAGCACCTATGGAATTCACCTTTCAGAAAATACTTTGGGCACAAGTGCAGTGAAGGCACATAGAGAATTCCAGTTACTGCCCAGAACCATTCAAAACTGTCTACACACATTGTTCTTCAAGCTCTTCATAAAATTGCTTCATTTTATAAAAATCTCAAAGTCCCATCTTTGAATGTACTTACACTGACTGGAGTTTTTAATTACTTCACTAATGTGCACATTTAAAAAGACATTTAAGACACTAGCCTTTATTGTAATGTACCATTCCTCCACAGAGTCAGGGCAAATGACTGAACATCCACACGCAAATAAAGTGACTCCTGAGTTTCCGTCTATGATTAAAAGTTTGAAAAGCTGGAGGCGTTTTGTTACTCTTTATTCCTTTAGCTGATTATCTGTTATTTATACAATTTTAATTTTATGGTTTCATAAGGAAGGCTAATGTTTTAAGAAAAAAAGCAAGATCTTTTTAGTAAAATTAAATAGTAAAGTTAGCGTGTAATTGCTACATGAAAGTTAAACACGTTCTCTGAAGAACACCTGCACCTCCTTTTGATTTTGTAAGTGTGTGTGTGCAGAGAATTGGAAGGATCAGCTCATCTGATTCAACTCATTTTCTTACAAAGAAAAACACCCTGTGCAATGAAGCCTCGCCTTGCACGAAGACAGTATTATATGATTACTGCTGAACACAAGTTCAATAAATTCTCTACCTTGTATTCCTTCAAGTGTAAGATAAAATTAATTAGAAGACCCTAAGTATAAAAATCATGCCATAAATTTAAGAATGTGCTGAAAATGGGATGAGATTACATTTTTCTCAACGAATGAAAGTCTTAAAAATGAACTGTACTATGGTACAGACAGCACACCTACCTACTGACCATTTTTTAAACTAAACATGAATTTTGAGATTTAAAATATTTTGAGATAATAGTAAAACTCAAATTATTTTATGAATCATCTGAAAAATGCTAGCATAACTGGTGATTAAGTAGGATATGAACACTTCCTTTTGTATAGTTCCGTTAAGTTTTCAAGTATAAGCAGTCTGTGTATAAGTCATAAACAGAAGCCACAAATTATATTCTTTACTTATTTGAAAATACAAGACTGCATAAGAAATCATCAAGTGTGCCCAGAATATTGTCTAAAGTTTTAAGTCATTTTTATCAACCATAGTGATTTTGTTGCTTACAATATGGTGACATATAGACTCACATTCAAGGCTTCTGTTGTACGTATGCTAAACTAGGGTTTCCCTGAGATAAAGTATCCTGCTGGCATAAAGCTGTATTTAGACTGCAATCTGAATTATAATCTGACACCAAGAGCACTAATCATGTTCCACCATCAGTTGGAATGCACAGTATTTCTTTGCAGTAGACTAGTCATCAATCTAGCATTAAACAATGGGATCATAAAGTTTTTTTATGAAATTTCCCGATCCATGCGAAGATACACTGGAACAGGAACTTCAGATGTATGTTTGCTCTTCACACATAAACAGGAATCTCTTCTAACATTAATTAATTCAAAAGGAACAGAGCATTGTAAAAGCTAGAACACTCCCCAAATAGCCATCTTGCACATGTAAAGGTCAGATAAACATCAATTCATTTAGGTTTGCTCTTGAATTTAATAATCAAATAGGATCCCATCCTTGAATTTTTGTGAGGAAGTTATTCACAGGAAATAACTTCTCATTGGATGGTCTCAGAAATGCTGCTGAGATAATCTTCAGACTTCATTATAAAATTTGTCCACTCCTGACAAATATCCTCCATGGAGAACTCGGCACCACCATACTCCAGAGGAAGAATGTCCGGGAAGTGCTGAAGTAGGCTTGAGTTGTAATTGTTCCCATGCAGATGAATCTGAAATAGCCACAGTGTTTTAGATGGTGTTGTCCTTGACTTTACCATGTTAGAAGCATTTCCAGTGGAAAACCAAACCCCACAAAACAGGATACACTGAGACTAGCAGGTACATAATACATACTGCACCCTTTATTCTTCTGTTCTCTAATCTAGGAATGTTTCTTATATTTAGATTATGCTGGTGTGGATCATAAATTTTATTGTTTTCTTGGATTTGCATTTGTATATTTATCAAAGGATGATGAAATCTACTACCTGATATCAATCCATAGTAAATAGGAGCAGATAGCTGCACCCACAATTAGCCTCATGAGTAGTTTATATGGTTATAGTCAATGGATGCAATACCATCAAGAAATTATGACAGTTGTGAGCCCTAAATTTTCATCTTAAATTTTAAAAAGTGACTGTAGAATGCCAGTAAAGGCAAGATAAAGCAAGCCATGCAAGTCAAATGTGCATCTCACTAAAGAAAATAAGCAAAAATATCTTTCTCATAGATGGGGGTGTGGAAGGACACGGGGCCCAGATGCTTACAGATAGCACTAGAGAAACCAGACTTGTTAAACACACGGGCTTTTTTCTTCTATAGAAGAAACTGATACCTGTTCAATTCAGAAGGCTGGAATCAATAATGTTGTTTAATAACCTCGCATGCTCTTTTCTCCCGAATCCCCCTCATTCTGAGCATAGTTTCTCAGACATCCTAGGAGAAAGGTCCCAAGTACTTTGTAAAAGATGCTTATCTCTTGTTTGTCATTATGCAAATTACAAATCCTTCTTCCCTAGACCCTTACCTGTCTCAGTCAATAGAACCCATTCTTGAGAAAGAGGTCACTGGTGCTTTCCAAAAAGAGACATGCTTTGCAGAGAAGTTTCAGTGTAGCCCTGCCTTAAGCTTTGTTGTGACAAGTTTTATTGCCTTTAACTATGTAAAAGACAAACCACTTGGGGTCAGACTCAAAAGTTTGAACAAGCCTGTCTCACTAAAGTCATGCTGAACCAAGTTTCCCTGCAGAACTTGCTTGCAGGGACACCCACATAGAGGAAAATGGTTATCCAGTGCTTTCAGCAACCATTTGATAGGAACCTATGTCGCTAGGAAATGAGGGATGGGAATGGAGAGATAGCTCAGTGAACCTTAGTTCCCAGCACACACACTGCAAAATGGAAACACACACACACACACACACACACACACACACACACACACACACACCTTAAAAAAAAAATCTTTTTTTTCTCATCCGGGCAGTGGTGATGCACACCTCTAATTCCAGCACTCAGGAGGCAGAGGCAGGCAGATCTCTGTGAGATCGAGCTAGCATGGTCTATAGTGTAAGTTTCAGGACAGGCTACAAAGCTACACAGAAACCCTGCCTTGAAAAAAAAAATCTTTTTTTTTTTAAAGGAAAAAGAAATGAGGGATGTTGGCTAAGTATCTGTACTTATAAACCTCATATCCCAACCCTTGATTGATTTTTTTAAGACTATCAAAGATGTTGTCACTTAGTTAAGAAGAAATTCTATCTTCCCTGAAAAGGAGAAATATTGAAATCTATATTGTCACCAAGAAGCTGAGAAGATTTGTTTACCCATTTTGGCTAGTCTGCTGTGAAGTAACTTTCACCGAGCTGCTTCATTTAACAGCTCAGTTTTAAAAGTTTTCTTTTCTCTTTTTGGTTTATACTCTCCCTTTTTATTAGATTCAGTTACTCTCAATTTGTTTTTAATTGTTCAGAATATAACCCCAAATAGATATGCTTATTCTTAGAACTTTAAGAATTACTCAGATGGTATCCAATGTCACTAAGTTACACTAAAGGGAAAACAAAATGGCCTATATAAAACACTAAAGTACAGAGAAGCCAGAAGTGGCCAGCTTCACTAGAACTGACAATTTAGGGATGATTTTTCTTAAAGACAGAAAGAAATTAGTCTGAAGAGGTAAGATTGCTTGATGCTCTTCCAGAGGGATCAGAGTTCAGTTCCCAGCATCTACACCAGGTGGTTCCCAACCATATGTAACCCCACCTCCAAGAGATCTGACACTCTCTCCTGGCCTCTAGGGGCAGCTGCGCTCATAGACACATACCTCCACACAGATATACGCATAACTAAAGAATAGAACAATCTTTTAAAGACAGAAATACCCAGTGGGAGTCACAAGTAACAATATGTAAAAACAGAGGAAAGAAGGAGAGGAAGTGGTTGGGAAGAAGTAGTTCAGTGGCGGTGGAGGAACCTCAGAAAAGGATAAGGGGTGGGGAATGAGCAAAATACATGAGACACGTGCTTGGAATTGTCAAAAAATGAGGAAATAAATTTAAGGAAAATAAAGAGAAAGAAATACCAGTTGGATCCAATAATCAGTAAAGAAACTCTCTAGGATCATAATATTCTGACCAGGTATAAAATGCTATGCTTTCTGAAAATGAATGCATAGTTTCTAAACTTTCAAGTATCTCATTATAACTAATGCCATCACTACTTATATTTTTTTAGGTTTAAATCATAAAGTTCTTCCAAAGCCATTTGTAGCAGGCAAATGGTGCACAGCTTTGCGTCCCCCAGCTGCTCAGAAAGCTGAGGTGGCAGGATCACTTGAACCTAGAAATAAATGACAAACTGGACAACTTAACAACACCCTGCATGAAAGCTGTAAGAATGGCCCTCTGTAGATTAGTTCAGGAAAGCAGCTGATGTCCTGAAGAGCAAATTCTTTTAAAGCTTTCAAAACTTATAAACCACAAAATTTGAATTAAGAATTCTATACAAAGCTCAGCAGGACAGGCTAGTGAATGTCATCTCTTTTGTTTCAGCTGAAAGACATTAAATTGTATACCCCAGGCATGACATGTTTCAGATACCTGTGTTTGATAGTTAAGACACTGTGTGCTTTTATTTGTGTACATAACACTTCCACATAACGCAGAAATCAAAACAAGATTAAAAACAGACAGATTGGGCTACTAACTCTGCCATCACCGGATCATTTGGTAATCACCCATATTTCTGTTTATCCTGACAAGATACATTTTTGTGCAAACATAATTATGTGTTCTTATTCTCTCCTTTGCACAGAAATGCAGCCTACCATCAACACCAATCTGCATGGTATGCATCTCACCTTAAAATACACCCTGCAGTCTTGTGTGTGGATTTATCATAGTTTCTTCCACCAGCCCCTCACAGTGAATGCTTGATGGTTTTAATCTTTTTCTGTATCTATGCTTTTGTTGGTACACAGCTATATCTAGCTGATGGATTTCCAGAAAATGCTGATGTAGTTTATCATAACTATTACCACACTGCCCTCTACAGGGAATATATTTTACACTCCAATGATACAATGCAGGTCAGTTTCCCCAGAGTCTCATAGCCAGTAATGCTAGATTTTTTTAAAGTAAAATTTAATTTATAAGAGTAGCTGACATATTTGATAAGTACTTGCAATATTTTCCCCATGGTTTATGGCAAAGGGATATGGGGATGTAGTAAAACTGTCCTTAAATGGGAAGAAGTAAGAGTGTACTCACCCGGCCCTTAATCTTTTCGGTCAGAAATGGTTTAATCATGGAAAAGACAGCATGGAAAATGACTGGCTCATTTATCAAATGGATGCCACGAACTTTCAATGGAAAGGAATCCTTTTGAAAGTAAAGAAAAAACAAAACCTTAATAACACAACATAAGTACTGCAGTCACATTCCTAAAGACAAGTCTCTTCTAGGAACACATTGTAAGTTTATGGTAAGGGTCTGTAAGATGGCTCATTGGGTAAAGTGCTTGCAATGCAAGCATGGAGACCTGAGTTCAGACCACAAGCAACCGTGTAAATAGCTGGCATGCTATTTCTGTCCCCAGAGCAGAGAAGCAAAGGCAGGCAAGACCCACTGTAGCCAAACTAGGAGAGATGATGAGCTCTAGGTTGGTTTTAAGACGCTGTCTCAAAAAATAAAATGGAGAGCAATAGAAGACATTAACCTCTGTCGTCTATGCATGTGTGGGTGATCGCTCACACACACACACACATGTATGTTACAGCAGACTCTAAAGGGTGACTCCATTTTCAAAATGGCTTATTCCATTAACACAAAAGCCTGGTTTATCTTTTACTACCAGTAGACTCAGAAAACACTTATTGGAAGGTTCATTCCTCATAGTTTAGGCCAAGTATTTTAATAGCCATCTACACACTTTGACCAGAAAATTACTCACTGGTCTTACATAAAGCTTCTCCTAAGGAAACAATGACAATTTGGGACATTTTTAATTTACTACTTTTACCAAAAATATTTTGGAGAAAAAAATCCATGAAAATTGAAAGAATATAATAATGGGCACACATTTTTAAAATTTTTGACATGGGTATTTATCTTTAGTATCAAAGTCACTCATTACTTAGAAAGCTTTAAAAGTTAATACTCGAAAGTAAAATAAACTCATCGATAGTTTTCTTATCCAAAAGTTTAGTAGTTACTATTAATAGAGACATTTTTCTCTTTTATGAAGAATTTTCCCCTTGCCATTTTGAGATTATGATTAATTGAGTTTTCCCACATTCTATATATAATTTTACTAAAGCTAATTGCCACTATGATGTCTAAACATCTTGCATTCTGTTCTGTCTCATTGCTGCAGTATGATTTGTGATGAGAATTGTGAGTTTTAACATTGTGGACATATCCATCAAATGGATGTCATCATTTAAGTGGTCACTTTCCTATTTCCGGGCAAGTACGTTGTATCTAATTTTCTTCTATTAGAAGTCATGCTGCAGGCACTGTTCTGTGTCTAGAAAGAGAGGTGACTGTAGAACAGCTTTTACATTAAGCAGATGTGGCCTAGGATCCTTAGGGCACTGCTGATTTGAAGGAGTCATTGTCTGCCATCACCCAGGATGTCCAGTAAGTAGAAAAACATTTGGAAGACTTAGGAAATTACCTAGAGCATAGTAAGCTATTATTGCTACAACGGACAAAGCTCTTACTATATTAAGATTATTCTTTAGCTGGGTCCCAGAAGTAGAATTACTAGGTTAAAGATAATGACTTTTGGGGTAGGGATGGAGTTCAAGACAAGGTTTCTCTGTGTAGCCCTGGCTGTCCTGGAACTCTCTCTGTAGACCAGGCTGGCCTTGAACTCACAGAGATCACCTGACTCAGCTTCCCTAGTGATAGGATTAAAGGTGTGCACCATTGCTACCACTACCTGGTGATAATGGCTTTTAAAAAAGACTTTGGGGGCTGGAAAGATGGCTCAGTTACACACACAAGAACAAAGGTACATACACAAAGACTTGATTTCTGAAGAAATGCATATCAATTTATAGTTGGCAAGACATGTGACATCTTATTGTATCATTGTCATAAATATTTTTGAGTCAACTTCTCTAGTTACTGGTGTTATGACATCAAGTCTCATCTAGTGTAGACTGGCCTTCTGATCCTCCTGCTTGTTCCAGCCAAATGCTGAAATTTCAGATATATTCTACCATGCCCAGCTTGAGCCAACTTTTTTTTTTTTTTTTTTTTTGGTTTTTCAAGACAGGGTTTCTCTGTTTAGCTTTGGAGCCTATCCTGGCACTCTGCTCTGGAGACCAGGTTGGCCTCGAACTCATAGCGATCCACCTGCCTCTGCCTCCCAAGTGCTGGGATTAAAGCCACCAACACCTGGCTTGAGCCAACTTTTTAATTTAGGAAGAAAACATAAATGACAAAAATAAAATAAAATTACTTTATATTTAAATGTACACATTCTATATTTACCTAGTTTGAATGTATTTATTTTTGAAGTTTGTTACATTTTTTTAAATAAATGAATTACATTTACTGTTAATATTCTTTAAATATAATAGTAAAGTTCTAAAAATATACAAATGCAGTTAAGCAGTATTATATATTTAACACCTAACAGTTAAGATATGTACTCACTGTAAGTACAGCAGCAATCTTTTTGGCTACAGATGGGGTAATCTGGAAAGCATGGGAAATCTGCCAGCCTTCCAGGTCAAATATAGCCTTGACTCCATTCCGCTGAGTTTCCACCTCCTGTACGATGAGCTCTGATGTGATGAGACTTACCCGAAATACATCATAGGCTGTAAAAACTTTTGGGTCCCAGTGTGCTATAGTAAGTAAATAATAAAAAGACATTACATCTTAGCACTGTGGGAAGAATCAGAAAGATTCTTAAGGGAATCAATTATTTTAAGGCCTGAAGGATGTGTAGAAATAAAACCATTAACAAGGGAGCATG